GTGCTCACCTGGTGCTCAGTGCTCATCTGGTCCTCAGTGCTCACCTGGTGCTCAGTGCTCACCTGGTGCTCAGTGCTCATCTGGTGCTCAGTGCTTATCTGGTGCTCAGTGCTCGCCTCACATGACTGAGACCCCAAGTTCTATCCCCAGAACCCTTACCTCAAAAGATCTACAAATGGGAGAAAATATTTATGAATGATTTGCCTTCTAAGGATATTGTATCTAGAACATAAAAAGAATTCTGATTGTATCCCATCCAAGGAATTCCCAGGGGTGGTACTGCCTACAGTGACCTAAGCCCTTGTCTTCACTACTGTTTTATTGCTGTGAAGAGACGCCATGACTGTGGAAACTTATAAAAGAAATCATTTAACTGGAGGGTTGCTTACAGTTTCAGAGGGTGAGTCCATGACCACCACAGCAGGAAATACAGCAAGAGGCAGGCAGGTGTGGCACTAGAGCAGCTTAGAGCTTCCATCTTATAAGCACAAGTGAGCTTTTGAAACCTCAAATCCAACAAGGCCACACCTCCTAACCCTTTCTAAACAGCTCACCAGCTGGGTGTTGCATCCAATGGAAATTTCAATTCCCCAAACTCTAAAATGTTCTATAAATATCCAGAAATGAGCTGAACCTGGACTATAGGAGGATTTCTGGTGGTGCCTCAGGAACTTGTGAAACCAGATCCCATCTGTCAAAAGGAGTTGTTTTCCTTACCTCTGGGCAGAAGACGTGGATGTCTCCATTGACATATACCTGTGGTTGTATATCAAAGCCCACACCGCCTCCAGGCTCCCTCAGTATCATAAGTACCTGTTATGCATTTCGAAGTTCACACTAGCATCCTAACCCTTCTTACTTCCTTCTCCATCTTAATTCCCTCCAGCTCCTCCTTATAACCCAGATATTCCCACTAAACACTCCCTATTCTGTCTCTGGTTATTCTACCTTCTCCCACAGATAGCTCTGGCCATGTTTAGTCTCCTGTTTTTTATCTCTATTCTCACATTTATAATAAAAATCTACCCCTTAACCATAACATGAAGTGGTCACGTCAACAGTTTCTTTACTGTGACCCCTCAAATACTCAGGGAATCAAACATTCAAATATGGGAGCAATTCTCATTCATTCAATGACAGCCCTCCAGCATCAGTCATTAATCACGAAAATGCCTCACAGACATGCCCACAGGCCAACCTGAAGGAGACAATCTTTTAATTAAGGTCCCTCTTCCCACATGACTCTAGCTTGTGTCAAATTGGAGAACTGCTAACTAGCATACCATATAATATATAATATCTCAATATTATTTTAAAAAATGAAATATTGCTACATGCCATAACATAAATGACTCTTGAAAACACAATGCTAAGAGAACAAAGCCAGGCACAAAATAGCACACGTCATATAATTTCAGTTATATGAACTATATAGCATAAGCAGCTCTATAGATATGGAAAGCAGATAATGGTTGCTATGGGCTGGAGGTACGTGGGAGTGAGGACTGAAGTGGAAATGGGGAGTCACCCCTCATGAGCACTGTGTTTCTTCTGCATTTGATTTAACGGTTCTAACGCAATTATGACAGTCCCACACTCTCCCGATTATATAAAAGATTGGATTGTGTAGTTTAAATGGGTGGATTACATGGTGTATGACTTACACTGCAATAGAAACTTTAGAAGATGAGAAATTAGAGACAGTATGTGCATAAAGGTGTATAATTATTAGAGACCAAGAGAAGGCAATAACTGGGATAGGGAGGCCAAAGTAGGGAGATTTTTGTCTCTTTTTAACAAAAGAGACTCAGCCATCCTGGAATGCATCTGGAAATGATGTAACTGAGGCACTAAAGATGGAGGAAAGTGAAAGCAATTCTATGTTGTCTCTCAGAGAACAGAAGTAGGGTTCAGAGCATATATTCACAGATTAACTGGTTATATACTTAAAGGAAATTCTCAATAGGAGTAATGTAGAGGACAGCATAGGTCCAAGGAAGCTGATAGATTGTATGATGGGAGAAAATAAGAAACTGATCCAGTGGCTGTGACATTCATTATACATCTAAAGTTGTCTATAGTATTTCCTGGCTGATACATGCATTTATAGAAGGCTCCGGTACTAAAGACAATAGAAAACAAGGTTGTCACCAAACAGCATTTAAGGAAGGAGGAAGCAAAGGAGGAAGATAGAGGGAAAATATTTAGAAACCACTTTGCTGGGATAGGTAGAATGTCCTCACTGAGATGGAATCCTTCATTGTTGCCGTTAGGTATAATGGTAGGCCTTCCCTGAGATGGACACTGTACTGGGTTTAGACCTTAGATTGGCAATATTCATCTGGTATGACACTGAGACCATGAAAAGCAGGAAAGTGTATAGGACTTTGGTGTGCCGAGGAATTTTGTAGCAGGTTATTTCAGGAAAGGCTGATTCCCTGCGCTCAGTCTCAGAGATTAGGAATCAGGCCTGACTCGGGGCTCAGCAGCAACATTTAAAACCTATTCCTGGTTGTAAAGCAGATGTTACGTGAAGCAAACACGAGGAAACACTGCCTTTAAGGAAAAAATTCAAAGCCCTTCCTAAGGAGGGCATGTCTGAGTGACCTGTGGCTACTCAAGGACGACACAATGGCAGAGGTTAATCCTGGAGACAGGGCGCCTGCCTCTCACTTCTGACATGGAGAAAAACCTACCAGTAAGTTTTAATTTAAGTCGTAATTATCAAACAGACCACAGCCGTACGCATGACAAGAAAAGGTGTGAAGGGCACCTCAGCTGCTCTGGGTTCCGTTTTTGTCAAGAGTTGGTCTTGTTTTCAATATGACCATTTTTTCAGAACCTCTTCAAATTCTATATATTAAATAATTGCAACGTGGGGTTTGCAAGTGGTAGTGTGGGCTGTGTATGTGCAGCCCAGGGTAAGTTAGGTTTTGATTGAGTTTAGACTATCTGTGCTGATTTCTAAGGTTATATAATATAGAAACTTTGGTCAAATACTTGCAGTAGACATCATATCCTCCTAACAAGTCAGCCCATTTGTTTAACTCAAATGTTAGAATTTATGGTTCTATGCGGGCAGCCCCAGGTGATGTCTGCTTCTCTAGACAGGATGTATTACCCTACACATCTTATTTGAAAGTTGTCAATCAACTTTGATGGTTTCAGTCATCATACCCAGATGAACATGGCCAACTAAAGTCTAAACCCAGAGTATTGTCCATCTCAGAGAAAGCCTACCTTTTACTTAAAGGCCATGATGAAGGATTTCATCTCCATGAGGACATCTAACCACCCCAGCAAAATGAATTAAAATTTCTCCCTCTCCTCTCTCTTCCCTTGAATGTTGTCTGGTGACGACCTTGTTTCTGTTGTCTTTAATATTGAACCCTTCTATAAATACATGTATCAGCCAGGAGATACTGTGGACATCTTTAGATGTATAATAATTTACTAACTTCTAATTAACTAATTTGGCTCTGGAAATGTGTTCAGTAACTCGACATGAAATCAAACCTTCTACATTTCTCAAGAAAATTATCTAAGTATTCTAGGAAAAATAATAACCTACAAAACGACTTCATTATCAGGTAAGTTTGAAGTATATTGAATTAATATTAAGCAGGTTTCTTAACCACAAGACTCTTGGAGTCTTCATTGTGGTAGTATACATGATATATTCCCAGAGGACACAGTATAGGCATTCTGCACCAGGTTGCCATAGGAAGTGTCTTGAAGTTACTTTATTTTAAGGACCATACTTAGAAAAAGAACAGTCTAAACTGTAGCATATTGCTTCTCTATCTTCTACATTTTGTAATTGTATGACTGAGTTTGAGTTCTAGAATTAGTTCACCTTGGGGTTTGGTTTAAAATTGTAGCAAAAGCACCCAACTAGGCCTTTGTTTTCTGTCATTTCAATTAACTTCAGATTCAGATCCACGTTCATACTCTATTAAGTTACTTTTAAGCATACTATGAAATCTTTGACCAATGTCTTACAAATGGATTTTGTTTCTATGCCTCTTCTCTGAAGAACTACTTAAAATTAGTATCATCATCCCTATACCTGATGACAACATGTATTCATTCTGGACACATATGTGTTCATTCTGGACACATATGTGTTCATTCTGGACACATATGTCTACTTATCACTTTCACTCCATTTTGGCAGTTTGGTATTAGAGGAAAAAGGTTTTTGGAATAGTATTAAGGTCTATCCCAAGTAAATATTTAATTCTCATGTTTAATGTAAAGTTTCTAATGCTTGCTTATTAAAGAATCAATATATTATTTTCATAAATACTTCATTTCCATTTCTTTCTCTTAAAACAAATTTCTCTTATTTCCTTGAAAGTATCAAAGATTCTTTACTGATCATTTCTTGAGTTACCTTAGTAGGTACATTTTTAAAAAGTTTAACCATAAGTTATCACTGGAACAGCAGTGCATATTTCACATAAAGACCGAGTCAAGACACTGAAGGTTTAGAGGTTGCGAGCTGGAATCATATTATTTAAATTCATCTTAGAAATATTAGATATCACTAATAGCACAGAGAAGTTTCTAATGAATTTTGCTTTCAGCCTCCACAGATGTATTTTGTGATGCTGTGTGGTACAAGGACTTCTATTCACGCATTTGCTACCAATTCAACCTGCTTTCATCTCTCTCTTGGAATAAGGCACATTCTTCATGTCAGATGCAAGGAGGTGCTTTGTTAAGTTTTACAGATGAAAATGAAGAAAAATTCATAAGGAGTAAGTATGGGAATGTGCTGTGAATGATTGTTTGATAAATAAAACACTGATTGGCCAATAGCCAGGCAGGAAGTATAGGCGGGACTAGAGAGAGGAGAAAGGAAAGTACAAGAAGGCAGGAAGGAAAGACCATCCAGGGAGCATCATGTAGAGGCAACAGGTAAAGCCACGGAACACGTGACGACATATAGAGTAACAAAATTGGGCTTAGTATAAGAGTAAGAGCTAGACAATGGTAGGCCTGAGCTAATGGCTGAGTAGTTTAAATAATATAAGTTTGTATGTTTATTTTATAAGTGAGCTCCGGGACTGGCGGGTTTGGCGGGAGCTGGAGAGAAACTCTCCAGCTACAGGAATGGTGAACACTAATGTTGATGCAATAAAATGGCTATTGTGAGCAATTCTGTCTGTGGATACAAAAAAAAAAAAAATCCTTAAAAATATTTTTCTTTTCTTAATATAGCCCAAATTTTAATTCTGAATTTTTAAAATGGTTTTTTTTCAGTGTGTATATGTCTGTATGCATGCACACAAATATCAGAGGACATTTATTTTTACAGGCGTCAGTTCTCTCCTAGTATGTGGGTCTGGGGATCAAACTCAGGTTTTCAGGCTTAGTGGCAAGTGCCCTACTCACTGAGCCATCTCAGCACCCTTCTAATCCTGAATTTTATTTTACTTTTTTCCTTTTTCAAGACAGGGTTCCTCTGTGTACCCTGGCTGTCCTCGGACTCACTCTATAGACCAGGCTGGCCTCAAACTCAGAGATCCATGTAGGTGGAGCTTTCCTGTCCTGTAGTCACTTTCAAATAAACACACTGAGGCTTATATTAATTATAAATGCTTATCCAATAGCTCAGGCTTATTACTGACTAGCTCTTACATTTTAATCTAGCCCATATTCCCTATTTATGCTCTGCTATGTGGCGGTACCTTTATTAGCATGGCATGTTCATTTCCTGCTCCCTCTGCATCTGGCTGGTGACTACAGACTCCTTCCTTCTTCCTCCCAGCATTAGTATGGCTCTCCTGCCTAACCTTATTCTATTCAGCTATTAGCCAGTCAGCTTCTTTATTAAACCAATCACAACAACATATATTCACACAGTGTAAAGGAATATTCCACAGCAGATCCACCTGCCTCTGCCTCCTGAGTGCTGGGATTAAAGGCATGTAACACCACAGCCCAGCTCTGAAATTTTATATAAATACTGTGCCATTCTCTTTGGCTCCTACTCATGTCTTAGTTTTCCCCTTGGGGAAGAGAATTTGAAGCTATAGAGTGTGACCCAGGTGAGCTGCAACTCTGACAAGTGGATCAGAGGGGCTCCTAAAGTTAAGAGTCTTGTCATCTGCAGAATTTAGACATTCAGTTTCACTGGTAAATAACTCAAAGGTCTATTTGTTAATAGCTTATCCATCATTCATGGTGTACAGGCCCATCACAAAACCTTTGGTAAATACCAAAACTTTAATACTAGTGGGAAAATGAAAAATACCATCATGCTAACTAACAGTGTAAGACAATAATATTTCCAAGTGCCAGCAGTGATGGGGATGGCGGAACAGCTTTACTTTGTTCCCACAGCAGGCTAAAGTGGTCTCTTTCCCTTAGAGACCTCCATTCAGGCAAAATTGGGATTTGTGGCTTTGACAAAGAAAATAATTTTATGGATCCCCAATATTATAGAGATGGATATCTATTAAAAGACACTCTAACATAGATCTTAAGATATAGGGTCAAAACAAAGTATAGAAGTGGCCGTTCCTAGTATGTTTTGAGTCTGGAATGTGCTGTTTGGGGGGACAGAATTCCTATGGTGTTTCAGACTGCTAACTGTAAGGCATGACTTGAGACATCAGTAAATCAGACTTTATGGAAACATCCTTCTAGATAAGCTATGTATTGTTTTATCTGATCCAAGAATGGTGTGTGGACAATGCTATGGGATTTTTATCTTTATTTCTAATAATACTTATTTTAATAAGCATCACATGGATCTTTAGCCAGAAAACAGAAACAAAGAAACCATGATGAAATGCAAGCTGTGTTTACCAAGGCAGAACAGACAAGGAATAAGTCAGGGAAATTCACCAGCAATACTTTAAATTGGGTCCCAGACAAGCCCCCATTGGAAACATATGTCAATGGTGATAAGCACAAAAACACAGCTATACTCCACCCCCCATATCAGTCTGAAGGGTTTCCTATCTGTTAGGAACCTCTATTGACAAGCAGAGTTTGTTGTTCAGTTGGGGAAAAAAGAATTTAAGGGTAAACCATTATGAAGAAGAATTAGAAATTTATTAAATGAGATTTTTAACATGATCTTAAAAACAGGGGTTAATAGACAAGTACTCAAGAAAGAATGAGGCAGACCCAAACATAGGTATCAGCTTCTTAAGATAGGGTCTATCTAGGTGTTTTTACAATGATATTTGTAGAATTTTTGGTGGTCTCAAGTTACATCTCTAAAGGTTGCTCAGAAACCATTCTTCCCCCATTTTTAAACATTTCTCAGAGATATAGTTTACACTAATGCTAAAAATTAAAGATTTTTCTTCTAAACGAAGGTATCAGGTGATTTATGAAGGGTGTTGTTTAGATTTAGAAATGGGAGGAGAATTCAAAATGCTCCAAGTTACTCATAATTTTAGGCTAAAGTATGCACAATATGTTTCTTATCTTGGACAAGACAGCATTAGAAAAAATACATATTGTCTCTGTAAGCAGTACTGGCCCTGTCAGTGGCCAGTGGCACCTGAAGCTTCCTGACTCCATCAGCAGGACAGGTAAGCCAAACTGGGCATGGAAGGCCTGGTTCTTGTTTTTGTTTTTTCATGTTTCCCTCCTGTGTGCCAAACATTTTCCATATCTTTCTATCCTGCCTCAAACAGAACGGTGACAATGAGCTGGAACTTGGTTCCCTCTGTCATCCAACCCTCCTCTTCTTCCTTTTTGATCAAATCCATTCATGGACCTTTGAACGGTTCTTTGGGGCCTGACAAGGCAGTTCACTGGGCAGAGGTGCTTGTGCACAAGCCTGAGGACCCCGGTTCAATCCTCGGGTCCCCCGATGAGGCAGGAGGGGACCAAGTCCGAGAGCTGCCCTCCGCACATTCACCATTGCATGCATGTACCTATGCACACATATTAATAATCTTTTGATTTTAAAAATTAATTTGGAAACATTAAGAACTATCACACTAGTTAATTTTATTTAGTTTCTGACACAATTTTTTTTTCTCAAATTTTACTTCATCTGTAGTTTTAGAATTTGAAATTCAACCATATAGGAAAAAAAGCAAATGGGGGAGAAAGTCTGCCATACTTCTACAATTCAGCCTTAATCATGTCCTGCAAAAGCAGGTAAATACATGTGTTCAGACAGAACGGTCTAACCTGCTTTCCATCGCTGTGATAAATACCATAACCAAGAGTCACTTGGGGAAAGAAGGGTTTATTGGTTTACTTCTTTGTACACTTCCAGAGAATAGTCAACCCTGAGGGAAGTCAGGGCAGGAACTGAAGCACAGGCAATGGAGGAATTCTGCTAACCAGTCCTGCTTAGACTGCTTTCACATGCAGCGGAGGACCATCTGCCCAGGGATGGCACCAGCCACAGTGGGCTGGGCCCTCCCAGTCAATCATTAATCAAGACAGTGCCCCCACAGACTTGCCTACGGGCCAATCTGACGGCAGAATTTTCTCAATTGAGATTCCCTCTTTCCAGATGACTCTAGCTTGTGTCAAGTTGACAACCACAACAACAACAACAAACCTAGCCAGCAGTGTCCATAGAAATTGGTGCTGTGTGAAACACAGATGCTGCTGTGCAGTGCGTAGATGCAAGGAAGAGAGAGACTTGTCTGTGTTTGAATCCTCCCGTGACCACCTACTGGCAGGGTTACTCAAGAAGTGGCTGAGCCTCTCTTGATGCTTCCGTTTTCCCCTCTATCAAGGGGAAATAATGATAGTAGCTTTGTGATGATGTACATTGCATCTTATAAGGCAGGGGGAGACTCAGGAAAGTGTCTGACACGCATAACAAGTTGTCTAGGTTCACCAATTGACGCTACTACACAACTTTGTAATCTGTTCATTCAATTTACCTGCATGTGTTCATGTCTATAAAGATGTATATATAGTTCTGCATTGTAGGATGCGTGTGAGTATCTGTGTGTGTGTGTGCCTGTGTGCATTTGTTGTATGTGTGGCTTATGTTTATGAGTGTGCAGATGCATGTGTTCCTGCACACCCAGTTGGAGGGCAAGACAAGATGTCAGGTGTCTTTCTGTATTACCCTCTGCCTTATTCATAGGTTAGCTGGCCAGTGAGCTTCTGGAGTCTTCCTGTCTTTGCCTCCAAATGTTGAGGTGACAGGCATCCAAGTGACATCCAGCTTTTTAATGTGGGTGCTGGGGATTTGAACTCAGGCTCTCGTGCTTGCAGAGTGGGCGCTCTTACCCCTGAGGCATCCTTTCAGCCCTACATCTTGTTGCTCCATTTTGTTACACAAAAACAATTGGTTGCATAGTAGTGTAGCTTTGTAGTAACATATTAACTTGCCATTGAAATAGGCAGATGAAGTTGTTTTGACATTTGCTTGTTGCCTACCAACCCCCCATAGACCTTCCTGCAGTGCCCCAGTTACTTTTTCTGTGTTCATGGAATGAGAGTCACTGGAAGGAAGAAGAAGCAGATTTACAGCTTTACAAAGCCGGAGATGCCTCCCAGAAGGATGGTGATAAATGGATGCATGGTGCATGCTCTTCCTTCCCCCACACAGCTCTGCACAAGTGGAGAATTATCATCAAAACTAATTTGAGTGAATCTTATTGGAGTAAAATACCAATTTCCAAAATCATTACTAATGTGTAATGGGTCTTATGCAAAAGCTTGCACACCATTTATGAATTATGGTTGTTATCTATCTTAACTGCCGTGGTCTCTCATGGGAGAATTTTGTACCTATTCATCAGGCTTGAATAGCAATTTTAAAAAATAAGATCTGTCACTGGATTTTATTTAAACATTTCAAGTCTATAATTAGGCTTTGGGGATTGTTTGGGAAAATAGAAGTCTATTCATAGACAGAAATTGTCCTAACCAAAGTATTTTCAGTGATGAGACAAGTCTAACATCTCTTGCTAGTCACTGGTGAATGAAAATTGTGAGATAAAGAATTATCTAGGCTGTCACAAATGACAAGAAACACCCAAAGGACTTTAGTTTCAAGTTTGTATTTATGTGTTAAGGGTAAATTTAGTTATAAAGGTAAATAGATTAAGTGGGGTTGTGGGGTTGGTTTTTTTTTTGGGGGGGGGGGTGGTGATGTGTGTGTGTGTGTGTGTGTGTGTGTGTGTGTGTGTGTGTATGAGAGAGACAGAGAGAGAACTTTTAAACATGAATTACAAATTGCATGATGTTTTCATGCGCTTTAGTAAACAAAATTGCACACTTTTGAACGTGGAGTAATTCCAAGAGTAATTAGTATTTGAATTAGGTCATTTAAAATACCACTTATCACTTTGCCTGGGTATGAAATATAGAAATTTCTCCCTGTCTTGTCAGGGAGCCTTCCAACCCACCTCTCCTGTCCTCATGGGAAGGTTAACCAATTTAATCCAACAGTACCATTGAAAGCAGGAAGCAGATGGACATCAGGAAGAGACTGGGCACAGTGCCACAAAAACTTGGATATGTTCGTGTACAATATGCTCTATTTAGTGATAAAGCACCTTCTGTTTTTGTAAGTGTCTGGCTTCCTCCGGCTTCCACTGTTGTACTGAAATGTCCAGTCATTGAGGATCAGCAGATTTATATGTGAACACACGGAGTCCTTACCCTGTTCATCACACAAGCTGCGGCCCAAGCTGAGGAGCTCGTGAGAATTAAGGGGAATGCAATTAACAACTGTTGTGAAACTATAGGAGGGAAGGAAGCCCAGAGAACATTCTCTGTATAACCTGCCTATAAGCTCAGGCTAGGTCCCTGCATTGAGAGAGACAGAGATAGAGAAAAACACACACAGAGAGACAGAAACGCAGAGAGACACAGACAGAAACAAAGACAGACAGATGAGACAGAGAGGAAGAGGAGGAGGAAAGGAAGTGAATGCATTGTTCTGAAGCACTCGAACAGGAGAAAACAGTGCTCTCCTTTACAGAAGAAATGGCAAGATGGTAATAGCTGAGGGAGCCACAAAATTAGCCGTTGTCACTAATAGTCATTGGCGTGGGTTGTTCCCCAACCCCAATTTTATTGTACAAAGCCGCTCATGTTCATACTTTAAAAAAATGTTTTTCAACTTAGGCACACTAAGAGAAAAACCACAATCACACAATTTCTACAGGCACACTTTTCTGTGCAAGCATGTCAGTCATGTTTATTTACAGTATCCATTGCACAAACATGGTTGGACTAACTGGTGAGTTGCTTCAGTACCGTGGTTAGAAGCAGAGACTTAATAATAAGCACAGAACCACAAAACCCTCTTCTCAAGGGTGTGGAGTCCTGGCCTGGGTCCCCACTGCTGAGACTTCAGCTCACCTAAGTGTGTTGTAACTGCTTCCGTTTACTCTCTGGTGGGGGCCCTGGACATCTCCACCATCTAAAACTGTGTGAGCTGGGGGAAATGGGAGAGCCTCGCATGCTGAACAGGGCACCTTTGGACAGACCGGAACTGGGCATTCTTATTGCTGTCAGGGGGTCTTCAGAAGCTTGCTGGGGAGTGCAGGTGGCCAAACCCTGCCTTGTCACACTGAAGCCCCAGCATGAGGGTCATAACACCCCTTTTTATCATGGGCTGGCGTTAACTATGGCTTGACGACATGAAGAAATAGCAATTTGAGAAAGTAACAGAGTGCCGAGTTTGACTTTCACTGTGTTCTGCCTATTCTCTTTTCTGTTCAAATACCATGATTTTCTTTTCAGAGCAGCTGATCAAGGAAGCAGGGGAAGTGTGGATTGGTTTGAATCAGCTGGATGAACAGGCTGGCTGGCAGTGGTCTGATGGAACAGCACTCAGCTACCTGAACTGGAGCCCAGGTACCCACAGCATCTCATTTACCTTCAACATGCTGGGCTATATTGCAGGCTTAATCATAGCAGTCCTACAAGAAAAACATCTTACTCTGCAAGTGGTTCAGATAATTTTTTTCCTTAGGTCAGGGTCTTCTATGCTGTCCAAGCAAGCCTGAAGCTCTCAATCCTCCTGCCTCAGTCTCTCAAGTGCTGGGATATAGGTGTATGCCACCACACCTGGTAGTTTATAAATATTGTTTTAATCTTACTGACTTTCTATAAGGCAAGCTTTGCATAAGGCAGAACCCAGAAAGATAATAAGTCTATTTAACTAACCCTGAAGCAGAATTGGGGGGCAGAGATAGACTGCTGTTTTCAAAACAGTAACAAATTGAAAAATATTCCTCTACTCTAAAATAACAAAAGTGGCTCTTCAGCCATCTTTGGCATGCCTAGACTTGAACTTGGAAATCACAGATAATCATAACAAATGTCCTGTAGGGAGCGCTACTTGAGGACTAACTCTAAGGGCTTTAGGCTTTAAGGCTAACTTAAGGGCAGTCTTTAAGGGCTAATTTCTGTGCTGAAACTACATTTCCATGCATATTAATTTTCAGAGATAAATGCTGGGCCGTTTGTTGAGTATCGCTGTGGAACACTGAAATTTGCCTCAACTGCCTGGAGGAGCAGGGACTGTGAGTCCCCCTTGCCATACGTGTGCAAACGATATTGGAACCACACTGCTCACGAAGTACGCGGTAAGTGCTCCTTCAGTCTGCTTCGGGTGTTCACATGCCCGCTCCACACATTAAAATTTCTCCGTGTTTGCTAATAATGGGGACTTAGCAAAATTGGGTTTTTGGTTATATAAATAAAAATATATAAGTGATCCCTGCCGTCCTAAAGCACCCTGACTACAACAGAGGCACTTCCTCAGAACTACGACAAGATAACATGAGCCAAGCAAACGTTTCTTCCCTTTCTATTAAAAGAGCTTCGCACTTCGCCATTCCACATTAGAAAACCAAAGTATGGTTCCTCTTGTAGTTTTGAGTTTTGTTTGTGGGATTCCTCACACTTAAAGACAAAAGAAAAATAACTTAATAGTACTTTTTTATTATGTTGATTTTCTTTTTTGTTCACTTTTGGACATAACCATGCATAATTATGAAGTACAATGAGTTTTGATCCATATATGTGTTGTGCAATGAACAGCATATCTATTACTTCAAACATTATCATTTCTTGGTGGCAAGACCATTCAAACTCCTCTCTATTGGTTGTCTGAACATTACAATTCACTGTTTAAACTCTGGTCACCTGATATACAACAGAAGCATCCTGACTCCAGCCTTATACAATAGTATTTCAGGAAATTTCTACCACATTTCACATTTCATATTAGTAACACACTTTCCCCAATAAAATACTGAGCAAAATCTGGGTTATAATTAAGACTCAAATAATATCTAGTTATAATCTAGTATAGTATAATCTAGTCCAATTCTATCATTTTCACTGTTTTTTATTCATCTGCATGTATGAATGTGTGCATTATGTATGTGGCAACAGTGTCCAGTGTATGTACAAGGTATATGAATGTGGTGTATATGCACATATGTATGGGTGTGCATACCCATGTGAACAGCCTGAGGCCAGAGGAGAACATCAGCACCATTTATTGAAAAGACTTTTTTTCTTCAGTCCCTGTTCTTATGACTTTTTTGTTTTGTTTTGTTTTGTTTTTTTGAGACCGAGTTTCTCTGTGTAACAGCCATGGCTGTCCTGGAACTTGCTTTTTGTAGACCAGGCTGGCCTTGAACTCACAGAGATCCCACTTGCCTCTGCCTCCTGAGTGCTGGGATTAAAGATGTGTGCCACCACTAGGCTGTTCTTATGACTTTTGTTGAAGATCAACTTTTGTTGAAGACCTTTCTGTCTAGTCATTTAGCTCTGTTCTGCCAGCCCACTCCCAACACAGAGACTTAGTTTAATTATAAATGCTCAGTCTATAGCTTAGACCTGTTACTAACTAGTTCTTACAACTTAAATTAACTTATATTTCTTATCTATGTTCTGCCACGTGGCAGTAACTTTTTTCAGCATGGCATATTTATTTCCTGCTTCCTCTGTATCTGGCTGGTGATCCCTGTGACTTTGCCCTTCTTCTTCCCAGTGTCCTCTCCTGCCTAACCTCTTCCTGCCTAACTATTGACCAGTCAGCCTTTTAGTAAACCAATCAGAAGGTGCCTTGGCAAAGACACATCTTCACAGTGTACAAAAAATATTATTCTGTAACATCATTTGCTGTAATGCATAGGCTCACTTCTCAGTTCTCTATACTGTTCCACTAGTCAATATGTCTGTCTTTACGCCAATCCCATAATCTTTTGAATACTAGAGTTTTGTAGCATGTTCCAAAGTCAAATAGTCTAACACCTTCTGTTTTTTTTTTCCTTGCCTAAGGTGATTTTGACTATTTGAGGGATTTATAGTTCTAGATAAAATTGAGGCAATACCAGTTGCCTCTGCTGGCCACACTTACCTTTGCATTCTATGATGTGGGTAAATAGTCTCACCCTCCTGAGACGCCTGATGATACCCCCTGGGGTGGCTAATGTTTCACCTGAGGGTTGTCCTCAGGTGCAAGAAGCAACCACAGCACTGAGATAAGTACAGGCAGAAAATCCATCTTCACACTCAAGACTTTCTGAGTATTGTCTTAGTTTGGTTTTTACCCTGTGACAAAATACCATAAATTTGTTTTTTACCCTGTAACAAAATACCATGACCAAGGTGTGGCAGAATGGCTGAGAGCTCTTGATCCCACTGAGAATAATGAGAGGCTTCAAAACCTCAGAGCCCACCCCCAGTGAAATACCTCCTCCAACAAAACCACACCTACCAATCCTTCCCAAACAGTTCCACCAACTGGGCACCAAGCATTCAAACATATAAGCCTATAGGGGTCATTCTCATTCAAACCACCACAGTGTTACTGATCTTGCTGGCAGGATGGTATGGTAGGTATCACACACACACACCTTTAGAACTTCAGAATTCTCTGATTCTACCCAAGTGAATGACAGGTGGTTTCAGAGCTCAGAGTTATCAACATCAAGGCTTATTCTCAGTTAAGCTGTTTGGTTGCTTTGGGTTTTTTGTTTTGTTTTGTTTTGTTTTTTGCCTTTTTTCCCCTTGACTTTTTCCTTCACCAGCTTTCACAGAGGTATCCTTTAGTTCACCATCTTAACCAAAAGTTAATGTCTTCCTTTCCATCTCTGGTTTTACTTGAGTCTTTCTGTTTTTAACTAGTCTTTAGTTTTTTCTAACTAAGGGTTTGTCAATTGCATTTGAAGAACTCTTGCACATTGTTTCAGTGACCTTTTATATTTTTTCATCTCCATTTTATTCATTTTGACTCTAATCTTTATTATTTATTTCTGTCTGCTAATTTGGAGTTTGGTTTGTTCTTGTTTTTCTGGCCCCTTGAGGTGCAGCACTGAACTGTCTGCATCTTTTCTATCATTTATGTGTAAGGGATGGTTGCTAAGTACTTCCCCGTTAACACTCCCTTGGCTTTAGCCCATAAATTTTGACATGTTGTGTCTCTATTCGCACCCATTTCAAAGGGATTTTTAAAATTTCTTCTCAATTTATTGGCTGCTCCAAAGTAAATCATTTAACTTCCATGTGCCAGCGTAGCTTCCCCTTTCTTGTTTCTGACTTCTATAGTTTTATTGCATTGTGCTGAAAAAATAGTCAATGTGATCTTCAGTGTTTGTCAGTTTGTTGAGACTTGTCTTGTGGCCAGGCACATTATCTGTCCTGGAGGAGAATTTGTTCTGATGAGGGGAAATGTGACTTGGGCAGCTGGTGGAATGCTCTGTAGATTTCTGTAGGACTATTTGGCCAGGGGTGCAATTGGACTCTGCAGTTGCTTGTTTGGTTTTACCATGTGGACTGGACAGTCTGTGCGTCACTAGATATGAGGTGCAACTTTCCGACCCCTGCTGCAGTGGCGTCTCTCTCTCCCTTCACGCCCAGTAATATTTGCTTTGTGTATTTTGTTTTCAAGCTTAATGAGCTTTTTTAAAGCAGCTGTTTTAGCTGGGCGATGGTGGCACATGCCTGTAATCCCACACAAGGGAAGCAGAGGCAGGCAGATCTCTGTGAGTTCCAGTCCAGCCTGGTCTACAAAGAGAGTTCCCGGACATGTAGGAATGTCACACAGAGAAAACCTGTCTCAAGAAACCAAACAATAACCACAACAACCAAAAAAGTAGCCACTGTTTTAAATACTATGGTGGCTCTCCCAGACTAGTTACTAGCTGGTCCTCTTCTAGAACTTTCTTTGAGTGGTAGATGCAGGCATGGTTTTCTGAACACTCCCAGTATTTACTGTCATGCTGTAGCATCTGGCCGTCAATGGACTGGCTGTTTATTTTACTTTTCCCTAATCTGACTTTGTCATGTCCTTCTTCCTAGAAATGCTAACCTGGATGCTGGTTTCTTGCCTCTAGTATGTCAGCACCAGATGATGCTCAAGTCCAGTTTGCCAAGAGCTTGGTATTGATACACAGTCACAATTACAGTATTAGAGAGCAATCCAAACCAAGTTTTCCCCAACTACAGTTAGTATGTTGTTCAAAAAAAAAAAAAAAAAAAAAACTAGAAGAGCATCTAGAGAGAGAGAAGTCTGTCCCCACAAGCCTTCCCGGGGAGGCAGCATAGACCCAGAAGCATCATTCACTTACTAACCTGTAGATGTAACCAACCATCTTATTAAATAAGAAACACAGAACCAATGCAAAGAAGAAGGCTGAGAGATCAGAGCTAAGAGCCTTACCCGTCTGCTGCAGCTAGCCTCTTAAGCCAAAAGACCTCTCCAAAAGAGACCTACTTCCTGTCTGTTTGTCTTTATATAGACTTTCTGTTCTGCCTTCTCATTGGTTGTAAACCCAACCACATGACTGCCTCATTACTGCCTGTCTGTACAGCCCTCCAGGTCTTCTATGGTATTGAGATTAAAGCCGTATGTCTCCAATGCTGGCTGTATCCTTGACCACACAGAGATCTACCTAGCTCTGCCTACCAAGTGCTGGGATTAAAGGTGTGGCGCCATGAACGCCCAGCTCTGCTATGGCTTGCTATTAGCTCTGACCCCCAGGCAACTTT